TATTGAAACCTTCATTTTAAACAAAGGTGTTTGAAAATTGGAAAGATGCACCATCGGAAGGTTTTGAAGACCTTTCCAGAATGAAAGGACTCATAGCTTTGGGGGATGTATCTGAATCTGACTACGTGAGAGTGGTGGGAGAGGCTAAAGAAAATAATCAAGGGGTCCAGAACAAAATGTTCTGAAGCCCAAGGCAGCTAGCAAGATGATTGTATCCGAGTTGAAGGAAGAACTCGAAGCACAAGGTTTGCCCACTGATGGAACAAGAAATGTTCTTTACCAGCGCGTGCAAAAAGCAAGGAGAATAAACCGATCTCGTGGTCGGCCTCTTTGGGTTCCTCCTGTCGAGGAGGAAGAAGAAGAGGTTAGTCTTTCATTAGCAAATATCTCCAATTTGCTAAGAACATTCTTTTGGGTCTAATTCCATATCCGTGCAGTAGTGCTATATTTATCTATAAGTTTGCTTTTTTTGGGGTGCATAATGGAATTTGATTTCCAAAACTAAATAATTGCTTCATCTAAAAACTAGGATAATCAAACCAAAATTTAAAAGAGTATGCAATCTATGTTAGTAAAGACAACATGATTTTCTTCTCCATCAAACAAAAGATTATATAGCATTGAATTGCATTCAAATCCTTTTGTGAAATGACTAGAAGCATGAGAAATCTCATTTGTTCTTTCATCAAATAAACCCATGTTATCTTTTTATAATTATCAATAAAGGTAACAAATCAGCTAGAACTAGACAATAAGACATTTTAGGTAGGGCCTCGTATATCTGAATGAGTGGTCACGAAAGGAATATGACTTATTATTTTTTGAGATAATTTTTTTTTTGAGATAAATGACTTATTATTGGTTAAGGATATGAATGTCTTGTGTGTTTTACGATTCATAAGCATAATAGAATAACAAATCTGAATTACAATCCTTAGACAAATTGGGATATAACCTCTTCAAGGCTGAAATGATGGGTGTCCCAATCCCCTTTGCTATACGATCATTTGTTTGTCGGCAGGCCTGACCTATCCTAACAAGGTTGGCTTTTCTTGGTAGAAAATAGTGTTGATGCCATCCTCTACTGACATAGAAACTATCTCACAGTCTAACATAGCTAATCATTCTTCCTGTGTTAAAATCTTGAAGGACAAATAGGAATGAAAAAAATGCAATTCAATTGTTGAGGTCTTTTGTTGGAGAACTAATGCATAAAAGACTAATTGGAAAATTAGGAATATGGTGGAGCGAAGAGAAATTAATAGAGGAAGTACAATTAACAGAGCCTGGTCCAGATATAGGAAATAAAGACTCGTTTCACCTGGATATGGAGAATAGTGATCGAACTATTGGAAGAGCCTATCATATGATCAAATGCTCTAGGATCGATATTCTGTGGCTCACCATGGGTTTTAGAATCAGCAAGAAAAGCAATAACTGAATTAGCAAAATTGGTGGAAGCAACTGGAGTTGATGGTGATTCATCCAAGATAAAGAACACCTTAGGGTACCTCTTGAAGACCCCAATATTAGCTGTCACGGGTGTTCCCATAGCTTCAGAATGATTCTATTGTGGTCTTGTTGAACCCATTCTTTTACTCCACACCCTCTAATTGATCAGCTATATAGCTTTCAACAATTGTCTTTGGTATGTATCAACTTCCCACAATAGTCATATCTTAGATGAATCCTTATCAGGAAGTCTTTAGTCATTTCTTTTTAGTTGCTTATGAAAGGTATTGGCAACTAAACCTGCTCTGTCCATCAAGATTGAATAATGGCATTTCTTCAACTTTCCTCTTGCTGAACAGAAGAA